GGAGGGAGGGAAGGGAGGAAGGGAGCAAAGGAGGGAGGAAGGAAGGAGGGGAGGGAGGGAAGAGAGGAGGGGAGGGAGGGATGAGGAAGGAAAAAGAAAGAGAAAGAAGCATTCTTATTTTTGGAAGCTCTATATATTTGAGAAGAGGAAGAGGGTTTGTTACTTTCATAAAGAATGTAAGTATTCAGTGCCTATTAAAAAAGAAAAAAAGTATTTGGGATTTTCTTTTGTATTTTATTAAGTCTTCTTAGAAAAATGGAAGACAAAATTAAACTGATATTAGGAATTGATCATCTCACCTCGCTCTGCTCTCAGACAGCTGAAATAAAAATTCTGGTTAAGACTGATTCCTCTCCAAGATTTCTCAAAACGCTGCTTTATTTGAGCGTCCAGACATTGCGCTCATTATGTGGTACAGCTGATGTGTACCTCTGCCACCCTGAAGGCTACAGCTGAACCAGGAACAAGGCGGCCAGTACAGAGGCGCAGTGAAGGTTCTCACTTGGCTGAAACTGCTGTTTCATCATGTGTCTTTACAGAGAAAGTTAAGTCTATGAATGCTGCTTATCCAACAATATTGAAAAAGGATCTGAGTCTCTGAGACAAATCATGCCTACTTTGTTTTTGATACACTACCCACAATGTAATAATCAAAGAAACCTGAGCAAGCTCTCTGGTCCTTGTTTTACTTTCATTGAATAATAATTGCTAATTTCACACATTAGGAACGATTTATATAAATTTGGGATGATGATGATGATGATGATGATGATGATGATGATGATGATAATGATTATTATTATAGTGTTGCTTATCCTAAATGTTACCAAAATGAAAATTCAGGGACCTAGAGTTTTTTGACACTTATTTATGATGCAGTCTCCTAAGACCTGAAATGCAGCCAGGAAAGCCATATGTACAAATCCTGGAGATAAGAAATACATATTTGAAGGGAACTATTTCTGAAGAGGATGTTTAGAGGAATGTTAAGGGCTGAGTCTGTGACTTAGAATGGCAGGATGTCTTGCTGCACTACTGTAATTCAAGTCTGCCTTGCTTTTGCAGAGTTAAGATTACTGAACCTGGCTATATTGGGCTTTCCCTGGCTTGGACTTCTGACTGCTGCATGTTATCCTGGTGAAATATATGAATGCTGTATGGGTGTTACATGGCTGAGCTAACTTGGATTGTGTCACTGTTTTCCTAACAGCTGCCTGGACTGCCTTTATCTCTTCGTTAGCATTTATTTCCTGGATGCACTAATTTCAGAGAAAATGTGTAGCAGTAAATAAACAGAGAGTCTATATCTAGGGAACTTACTATTGGAAATAAAAGTTGTAAGCATTAAATCATATGTAACTGTAGAAACTTCATTTCTTAATATGACCCTTTCTCCTTTCTTTCTTTCCTTTTGATTCTTACCGGCCTCAATGGGCATCCTGACTCACCTGCCTCCTTCTCTCTTGCAGGGCCACTCCCTCAATGGTTAAGTGGTTCTCAACCTTCCTAATGCCATGACCCTTTAATACAGTTCCTCATGTTGTGGTGACCCCCAATTTCATTGTTACAAATTGAACATAATTAAAGCATAGTGATTAATCACAAAAACAATATGTAATTATATATGTTTTCTGCTGGTCTTAGGCCCCCTGTGAAAGGGTCGTTCGACCCCCAAAGGAGTCACGACCCACAGGTTGAGAACTGCTGGGTTAAGCCTTCAGGACAAAGAAATCCTGATCAGCATTAAATGACCTGAGGAACAAAGACTCTGGTTTGTTGACCCCAGAGATAGAGTTACAGTCAAAGTCAAATGAGAGAGAACAGCTAAGCCTCAGTTGTGTTTCAGCTCCAGGTCCAGAAAAAAAAAAAGTGGCAAAACCAGACAAAAAGATGCCATGGCTGACACCAGGACCAAATGCACTGACTAATGACCCCCTGCCCTAGCTCTGAACAATCAGTAGAGACCATGACCCGAACTCCCTTAGTCACCGTGATTAATGATCTTTCCCCTATAAAACCCATGCCCTGGAAACCATGGGGGAGCCATGTCTTTGAGCGTTAGCTCACCTGTCTCCAGGCGTAAGCCACT